AATAAATTATTTTAAAATGCTTATGTGATAATTGTGCATGTGTTTAACTTATACATAAAATTCAAAGGAAAAATAAAAACACTTCTGTTAACTGCAAGGCAGAGGAGATGGAATCTAGAGAAGCAATGCATGCAGCAGATGGCCAGGGTTACTTAATTTTACATTCTCTTTGTTGAAAAAGAGAAATGGACTGGGAAGAAGGAGAGGGAGGGGGAGAAGGGAAAGAGAGGGGGGCATATGCTGGCTTGGCTAAGGCATTCATCTGTTGTTCCACTCAGATACTGAAGAAGGAGGCATGACCACTTGAGGCCAGGAGTTTGAGATCAGTCTGGATAACACAATAAAATCATATCTTTAAAAGCACACAGAAGAGTTCAAGCATTTAAAAGATAGAATTTACGTGTTTTAGGTTATAAGATGGCTATTTTTCTAGAAACTTAAACTTTTGCAGTATAAAAACAGAAACTATTTTATGTCCAAATGTAAGATTCCTATGTGCATCCAAATGTATAAATGTTTTTAACCCTGTTCCTTTAGGTACATTACAAACTATCTGGTATATCACTGCTTTAAGTGTTGAGATGAAATTGACTGTAATGGTTTGCAATTTCCTCCTGTTCCTGAGCACAAAGATTTAAGTGCTGCCTTTTTATTTTTGTGTTTTTTTTTTACACACACACACACACACACACACACACACACACACACCTTTAAGCAGCTGACAAAAGTTATGGAGTCTCTCATAAGAAAAAATGCACATGCATAAGTATGTCGAAATTTTTGGAAACAATTCTGGAGATTTCCTGAAATACAAATATGTATCCCAGGCTAGAAGTCCCTATTTCTACAAGTTATCAGCTCTGACACAGATACCTAATTCTCATTCATCTTAGTCTGCTCAAGCTACTATAACAAAATAGCATGTCGTGGTTTGAATGAAAAGTTCTCCCTATTGGTTGGGACATTTGACCACTTGCTTCCCTGTTTATGGCACTGTTTGGAGAAGTTATGGGAAGATGCAGCCTTGATAGAGGGAGTAGATCACTGGGGTGGTCTTTGGGAGTGGAAAACCTTAACCTATTTCTAGTTCGACCTCTGCTATGATAGAGGGAGTAGATCACTGGGGTGGTCTTTGGGAGTGGAAAACCTTAGCCTATTTCTAGTTGTGTGCTTGTGGTTGAGAATGTGAGCTCTCGACTTCCTGCTCCTGCCACCATGCCTATCACACACTGCCCTGACTCTACACCATTATGGACTCTTAACTCTCTGGAACTGTAAAACAAAACCAACTCTTTTTTCCATGAGCTGCTTTTGATCATGGTGTTTTATCACAGCAACAAAAAAGTAACTAATATATACGATGAGCCATGTGGCTGATATTAGGAAGTAATCTGAGATGAGGAGGTCAAACTGGAGTTATGCAGATCTTTATTTCTCATGCTTTTCTGAAGGGTGTGAAATTCAAACTTAAGGTAGCATCAGGTTTAATGCCTGGTGAGGTCCACACACAAACTAGAAAGTGGACCTTTCTGGCTTAAACCTGATGCTACCTTAAGTTTGGGTTTTGCATTGCTGTAAAGAGACAGCATGACCATGGCAACTCTTATAAAGAAAACATTTAATTGGGTGACTCACTTACAGTTTCAGAGGTTCAGTCTATTATCATCGTGGCAGGCCGCATGGCAGTATGCAGGCAGACATAGTGGTAGAGCGGAGTGTGCTACATTTTGCAGGCAACAGGAAGTCCACTGACTGTCACATTGAGGGAAATTTGAGCAAAATAGACCTCAAAGCCAGCCCCCACAGCGACACACTTCCTCCATCAAGGCCATACCTCCTAATAGTGCCACACCCTTTGGGAGCCATTTTCTTTCAAACAACCACAGGGACCCTCTTTTACAAGAGTACTAACACAATCCATGATTGCTTGGGGCCCTTGTGACCTCACAATCTTCTGAAGCTCAACTTTTAACACCATCCCATTAGGGTTAGGTTTCAACACACAAATTTCAGAGTACAAATACACCCAGACCACCTCTTTCTGGAAAGCCTTTTCTGACTATGCCAATCTATGCTGATTATTCCTTGCTCTGAACTTCTACTACATCCTAAATATTCAGCAGATTAGTCTTTCATTGATTTGTATTGACTTGAACTTTTAATTCCTCTTGGCTGAGGCAAGAATGTATTATCTTATACATTGAAGCATCTTCCCAAGAACTCAGAAACCGCCTGGCGATTTGCTTGCTTGGCTGAAGCCGTACCATAAATTCTTCCCATTATCCAAGAAGGAACAGGACCTTCATAATTCTACATAAAATGTGATCTCTCAGGGAGAATAAACAGACAATTCTGTACTTCATATAACGTGATCAGCCATGTAAGAACAGAAAAGCAGCAGCCATGCAGACCAAGTCCACAGTGCAAACACAGGCAAAAGCCCTACTTTCCTGCCTCCCTGCAGAGAAGACAATCAGACTGAAAATGATTGATTAGTGAGGAAATAATTAGAGGAGAAGCTTCTTTAACATGCTCACTAAGCAAAGAATATGTATAATTAGTGTGTGAAGATTTAGCATGCCATGGTCACTCATTCCAACTAATTGGTTATAGAATAAATTTTGTTTCCTAACTGATATTAAAGGACACATTTCAAAAGAAATCACTCTAATTGTGACTTTGACACAGATAAGAAGACAACCTCATAGTAAAGATTTTCTTTGAAGCTCAGAGTGTAGGTCAGAGAGAGTGCACTTGTCCAGCATATGCAAAGCCTTGGATTTGATTCCCCAACACAGCAAAAGAAAAAAATATATTTCTCTAGCTCGTTAATGAGGTAAGAAAAAGATGTTACAATAGCTCAAAGGAGAATCCAAAACAACAAACATATTTATAGATAATGAGTCTTAGAATGGATATAAAACTGGAAGCAAAGACAACTGAGTTTCTTTTATTTATGTATTTGTTTGTTTGTTTATTATGTGTACAATATTCTGCTTCCATGTATATTTGCACATCGTAAGAGGGCACCAGATCTCTTAACGGATGGTGGTAAGCCACCATGTGGTTGCTGGGAATTGAACTCAGGCCCTTTGGAAGAGCTGTCGATGCTCTTAACCTCTTGAGACATCTCTCCAGCCCAATAACTGAGTTTCTTAAGGGGAAGACAGCCCATGGAGTTCTCAAGCAGAAATGAGCCTGCAGGACAACATTATTAGACTGGTGTCAGTCACCAGTACATTTCAGAGTTGTAAAATGGCTCCCATCATCTCAGAATTGACAGAATTATAAATTCCCAACAATTACAAGGATCAAATTGCCCAAAGTACCAATCATCTTGTCATGAGTGGTACTTATTCCTGACTTCTTTTCTTAGTTTATTTCTCTGTTGCTATTATATAAAAAAAATACCACCAGCAACTTAGGGAGACAAGGGTTTATTAGAGTCCATCATCAAGGGAACCAACACAAGCATCTGACAGCAAAGGTAGAGGCTGAGAAGGCAAGAGGGAAGGCCAAGCAAATCAGTGAATAGTCTTCCCTCTGCCATGTTCTTCAAATCTGGGCTGCTACCAGAAAGTGCTCCTCACACTGAGTGGCTCTTCTCAGTCAGCCAAGGCAGTTAGGACAATTCTGAAGAACTAGTGTCAACTGGTGAGGATACCAACTCAGGTGATTATAATTTGTGACAAGTTAACATTGAAACCAACTAGCATGTCTTTTTCTATCAGCAGTGGCAGGTCACTGTGAATGGCAGTAAAACCTGATGAAGTTTCTGCCCAGGGAGCCTACTGATCATAATGCCTCACAATTATCTCATTATAAACTCTTGAATACTTATAACCTGTTTTATTTTATGCCCATCTCAGATGGTGACAATTAGATCATTTGGTGAGTCACCTCCATGAGTATTTTCTTAATTTTGATTTTGTCCCACCTTATGGAATTTACTATTACACTTTGTTTGCATTTTATATTTTACTTGCACTGTTTGTCAAGCCAAGTTCTCACGAAACACAATTACCCAAATTAACAAACTTTCTCTTCTGTTTCATTATGTCCCTAAATGTTTTATAGTCTAAATAAAAAATAAAACCCCTCAAGATGTATGTTTAACCTACTTCCATATGCTAATGTTGAAATGTCATTTTTTGCAGTTTTCTGTTCTTAAATGTTCATATTCTATTTTGTTAAGCATATAGTCCCAATTCTTGGTTACACTTATAATGTTACATCCATTCAGTTTCCATTGTCATTCAATTGCAGTATTTTAAATATAACTGTTCATAAAGTATTTGAAACTAAAACTACCTATGGGGAAAACCTGAAAGATGCAAAAACCTAGAACACATGGTAGTTTGAATGTAACTGGCCCCCATAAGCTCACAGGGAGTGGCACTATTAGGTGTGGTTTTGTTGGAGTAGGTATGACCTTGTTGGAGAATGTGTGTCACTGTGAAGGCAGACTTTGAGGTCTCATATATGCTCAAGCCATGCCCAGTATCTCAGTTCATTTCCTGTTACATTTAGATCAAGATATAGCCAGCACCATGTCTGCCTGCATGCCATGATGTCCCACCATGATGATAATGGACTAAACCACTTAAAGCCACCCCAATTAAATATTTTTTATAAGAGTTGCCATAGTCATGGTGTCTCTTCATAGCAATAGAAAATCTAACTAAGACACACATTTTGATCATTTTTCTTTGTGCTGTTATTTATCGTAGATCAGATCTTAGATTTAACTAATTGACTCTGAGAACCAGTCAATTTAAAGATGAGAGAACAGATCCAGATGTTGGTACATGGAGAGAAGAAAATCTTGCTTTTTTAATCGGATGATTTATCCTACCCCCACTCCTAAGTTTTGGCTGTTAATATTTTGATTTGCTCCCCAGCTTAAGGAGACTCACCAGAGCTTAACTGACCTTACTAACCAGAAATTCAGCACTCTTGAATCAACAATTGCTTCTTCCTCTCAGAAATCATGGTACAATGTTTGCTTCGGCAGTACATATATTAAAGTTGGAATGATACAAAAAAGATTAGCATGGTGCTTGCTCAAGGATGACATGCAAATTTGTGAAGCATCCATATTCCATGTTTTTCAGTTCACTGGGGGCAAATGCATTTTCTAGCTAGATACTCATTTTCATGTCACTCTCATGAATTCTAATCTTTAATTAGAATAGAACATTTTTTCTAAAAATTTATTTTTCATTTTGCATATCAACCCCAGTTCTCCCTCCCTCCCCTTTTCCTGCCCCCTCACCTCTCCCCTTCCCATCCACTCCTCAGAGGGGGTAAGGCCTCCCTTTGGGAATCAACGAAGTCTGGTATACCAAGTTGAGGCAAACCCAAGCCCCTCCCGCTGTGTCAAGGCTAAGCAGGGAATGGATTCCAAAGAGCCAGTTCATGTACCTGGGATAGGTCCGGGTACCACTGCCAGTCCTCTCCCCAAAATATCAATCCATATAACTATCACCCACATTCACAGGGCCTAGTTCAGTCCTGAGCAGATTCCCCACCTATCATCCATAGCCCGTGTGCTCCCACTGGCTTGGGTCAACTGTCTCTGTGGTTTTTCCCATCATGCTCTTGGCATCCCATTGCTCATATGATCCCTCCTCCCTCTCTTCAACTGAACTCCAGTAACTCAGCCCAGAGCTTGGCTGTGTGTCACTGCATCTGCTTCCATCAGTTACTAGATATAGGTTCTAAGATGACAATTAGGGTAGTCACTAATGTGATTAAAGGAGAAGGCCCATTCAGATACCCTTATACCTATCAGAATAGCTAAGATCAAAAACACTGATGACAGCTTATGCTAGGGAGTAAGGGAGACTCTCCACTTTTGCTGGTGGGAGTGCAAACTTAAACCCCCAATTCAGAAATCAATATGGCAGTTTCTCAGAAAATTGGGAATAAGTCTCCCTCAAGACCCAGCAATACCACTCTTGAGCATACAGCCAAAGGATGCACAATCATACCACAAGAGCATTTGCTCAGCTATGTTCATAGCAGCATTATTTGTAACAGCCAGAACCTGGGAACAACTTAGAGGCCCCATCAACCAAAGAATGGATAAAGAAAATGTGGTACATTTACACAATGGAGTATTACTCAGTAGTAAAAAACAGTAACATTGGGGCTGGAGATATGGTTTGGGGGTTAAGAGTCCTGGCTTCTCTTCCAGAAGACCTGGATTCAATTCCCAGTACCCCCATGGCAGCTTACAACTGTCTGAGGGGATCTGAAACCCTCGAACCAATGTCCACAAAATAAAATTAAATAAAGTATTTAAAAAAATGACATCTTGAAATTTGCAGGCAAATGGATGGAACCAGAAAAAAAAAATCCTGAGTGAGGTAACCCAGATCCAGAAAGAAAAACACTGTATGTACTCACTCATAAGTGGATATTAGATGTAAAGCAAAGGATAATTAATCAAGCTACAATCCACAACCCCAGAGAAGCTAAGTAAAAAGGAGGACCCTAAGAGGGACACACTTGGAGGGCCCCAGGAAGGGAAAATAGTTACCATCTCCTGGGTAAACTGAGAGAGGCAGAAGGGGGGGAATGGCAATTGGGAACATGAGGGATCAAGAAGACCAAGTTGTGGGGACACGGAGGGGGAGAGCAAGGAAAGAGATATCTTGACAGAGGGAGCCATTATGGGGTTAGGGAGAAACCTGGTGCTGCAGGAACTCAAAGGGATGTCCCCAGCTAGGACTCCTAGGATAGAACCTTTTTAATTATCATATGAAGACACTGATAGAAAATTTTCTCAGTGGTTGATGACAAATACAGCTTCTGTGTCTAGGAGTCAGGAACCCAAGCATTCTGAAAAGCCCCAGAGGCTCACACTTGAAATCATGGCAGTGGCTGCAGCTGGAATTAGGGGTGAGTTCTGCCTCTGGCCTTACCTAATTATAAAACCTTTGAGACGACAGTTCTCTCATCTTATATAAACTCAGTCTAGTGAGTTCCAGATCTAGAAGCTCCCATCTAGAAGTCTGCTCCTGAGAACAGCCCAACCCTTGTGCACATTGTTTTTAAGGAGCCAGACGGAGCTCAACAAAATTACCTCACAATGAAAAATAGTTCGGTGATCTGTGCATGAGATTTTAAGTGTTCAAATTATAGTCTCACTGTTTCATCCTTACTGCTTCATATTCCCCTGACCACCAGCAGGCTTCCCACTAGCCATTACATGGAGATGGCAGCATCGCCGCAGACTAACGCCCTTTTGAATGGCTGTCATACTTACTGTAGATGCATTTACTTGCCAGAGAAAGCACAGCATTTGAACTATTGGGTTCAATGAACTGCACCAATTATTGAAGGAGATTAGATAAATGAATGGGCCATTACTCTTATGAGCGACCTGAGTTAGTCATTAAGACTAAGTGATTAAAAACTCAAGAGGCCTGATGTAGAGTTGAGGAACAATTTTAAGACATTTAATATGCAGTAATATAACCATTATGAAAGCCTAACTAACCAGAATCCTTGATAAATTAATTAGGAATTATGCAGATAGTAAGGAGATATGCTTAAATTAGTCAAAATACTTACACATTATCGGTATCTGTCCAATGTAGTGCTTGCTACTCTGAAACATATAAAGATGTATAAATCATGAATCTTATATTTAACTTGCTTATAATTTAGTTGGAAGACAAAAATCACATATATTAAATGACCTGTTAAATTTTGCATAATCTGTTATTAAAAACAAGTAATTGAATTCTTTTAAGAATACTCTTTGTAACCCAAGCATGACCAAAGAAATGTGCTTCCTTTTTATTTTTTTATTTTAATACTATTTTTGAGAATTTCATACATAAGCACTGCATCTATATTATGTCTACCCTTCTTTTCCCCCTTCAACTCCTCCTATATGCCTCCTCCAAATTTATAATCTCTTCTTTAATTATTACCATTTCACATATATATGCATATATATATGTATGTGTATATGTACATGCATACATAATTGCATGCATTTAGCTTTGCTCGTATTACATGCATCCAGTGTTGGGCACTTGGGATTGAACAGCCAATGCAGTTCGCCCCTGTATCAATAACCATTGACCATAAGTAGCTCTTCACTGCGGGTGGGACCATGTGGAATTTCCTCTATCCACATTGGTATGTCAAGTATTATTGTCAATATGCTGGTCTTACTCAGGCAATCATATTATTGGAAGTTCAGGATGTATTTTCTCCATCAAGTCAGGAGACACTATCTAACAGCACACATCCTGAGCCTCTACCTCTTTACAATCTTCCTGCCCCCTTTTCCATGATGTCCTGAGAGCCTTACATATAGAGCTTTTACTGCAGATGTATTAGCTGGGGTTAGGCATCTCACTGTCACTTAATCTCCATGTTTTGACCAGTTGTATTTCTTAATAATAGTTCCCACCTGTTGCAAAAAAGAAGCTTCTTTGATGGGGGATTAGAGCTACACTTACCTCTGGATATATGTGTTTAGAATACAGTTAGAAACTATACTAGTTTAGAAAAATGGCACTAATAGGTTCTTCTCTAGGTTCCATGGCCTCTCCAGGCATGGGTAGTTGGCCAAGTTTATAGTAACAGGTATGAATTTTCTCCTATTGAGCAGGGCTTAAGTCCAATTAGGCAGCTGTTGGTTATCCCCAAGATAAGAGTGCCACTATTACACCATCAGAAATATTTTGCATGCTGGCTGGTCTTATGTCAACTTGACACACAAACTAGTGTTATCCAAAAGGAGGAATTTCAATTGAGAAAATGCCTCTATTCCATCTGGCTGTAAGGCATTTTCTTAATTAGTGATCAATAGGAGAGGACCCAGGCCATGGTGGGTGGTGCCATCCTTTGGCTGGTGGTCCTAGGCTCTATAAGAAAGCAGGCTTCACAAAAACCATGGGGACAAGCCAGTAAGCAGCACTGCTCCATGGCCTCTGCACCAGTTTCTGCCTCCAGTTTCTGCCCTGTTTGAGTTCCTGAGTTCTTTCAATAATGAATAGCAATATGTAAGTGTAAGCCAAATAAACTATTCCTCCCCAGCTTGCTTCAATGGTTGAAAAGGTGTTTCAATACAGTAATAGAAACCCTAAGACACTTTCCAAGCCAGCCACTGTGGTTTTATAGTCATTGCTGTAGCTGTATAGCTGGACAGATCTACTGATGGCTTTTCTCTCTTAGCAGCTTTCATAGCACCTTTACCTACTATAAGAGCTAGTCCTCGGTGAGGAGACTTTCAGATCAGATCCAGTTTCATGCCTTCAAGTCCTGTGTCCAAAGTGTGTGCTGTTTCCAGCAATAGGGTCTTACCCTCAAGTTCGGAGAACTTTTGTCCAGAAATTCTTCACTAATAGAAACTTCAATGTTTTGAGTTCAATAATGACTCAGTGTCGTTACTTTACATGGTTTGATTTCTGTAGCAGGTGGAGGCTACTATAGACATCTACTAATGGTCAGAATACAGAGAAATGACCATGGGGTGCCCATCCCCAGTTTGAACATTTATAATGCAACCCCTATATATGATGCTCAGAAATCATTGCAGAAATGGGGGAGAAAAGATATTAAGAGCCAGAGGACCTGAACACCTACTACTAGATAGTATCTTCTAGACATGAATGGGATGCTGCACCCAGGAAATATCAATCATGTGATTGCCTAAACAAGACCTGCGTAATGACAACAGTCAACACGCACTTGGGAAAGCAGGCCCTGCACCTCACCTGGCAACTTAGGAAAGCTGACCCTTCTGGTAATGGCACAGGCCAGCAGATTCTGAGGTCATAAGTGTGGGAGAGCTAGCACCCCACTTCTCATCTACCATGAAGTGTGGTCAGGGGAGAGATGCACCCCCTTGCCTGTCACCTCTGGATACCTACAGCACTCAGGAGAGCAGGCCCTGCACCAGTAGCATAGTAGTACTGACCCTGCTGGTAGGATCACAGATAAGCCTACCCTAAGGTCGTGAGGATAGAACTGCTGGCCCTGCAGCCCTTGTCTGCCATGAGGAAGAAGGAAAGATGCCCTCCCCCTCCTGCCTCTTACCATCTGCAGCAGAACTGCCCCTCACCAGATGCAGAACTAGGGAGTG